ATCTTATTAATTTATTTTTTTATTGTGAAAATACTGTACAGAGGGGTTACAATTACATGGGCAAGATAATGAGTACATTTTTTATCAAGCATTGTAGCCTCCTCCTTTGTTTCCCCTTCCCATCGTCCCCCCAGCCCCCAATTTTTTATTTTTCTTTCTGCTAGTAACATCTTAATAATCATTAACATAAAACTTAAGATTCACTTTTGGTTTTTGCTAAATAAAACATATAGCAGTAGAGATCATTACCTTTGGTGAATATTTGGGTATTCACATATTATGTCTGCCAAAGTTTTCAGGGAATCTAAAATTTTAAGAAGACATTATATTGGTTGGGAAGGTGGCTTAGTGGTAGAGTGCTTGCCTTGCATGCATGAGGCCCTGGGTTCAATTCCTCAGTACCACATAAGCACAGAAAGCTGGAAGTGGCACTGTGATTCAAGTGGTAGAGCGCTAGTCTTGAACTGAGAGCTGAGGGACAGTACTCAGGCCCAGAGTTCAGACCCCACACCCAACAACAAAAAAAAGTACCTGACATAGACTTAATAAAATGCAAATATTATGGATAATTTCTTGTCAGTTGGGTTTATATAAATATAAAAACTCCTTTTTATTTCTTTGGTCATTGGCTTGAACTCTGGGCCTGAGTGCTGTCCCTCAGCTCTTCAGCTCAAGGCTAGCGCTCTACCACTTGAGCCACCACACCACTTCCAGTTTTCTGGTGGTTAATTGGAGATAAGAGTCTCACAGACTTTCCTGCCTGGGCTGGCTTTGAACCACTATCCTCAGATCTCAGCCTCCTTAGTAGCTAGGATTACAGGCATAAGCCACCAGCACCCAGCTAAAAACTCTTATAAAATAAGTCTATAGTACCTTTGAAAGCTTGAACTTGATTTTTCCCATAGGGTGCAGATGAAAAATTACCACACAGAATAAAGCAGGTTGGTGGTGCTGGTGAGTAACCTAGAGAAAACAAACATCAACTTTCAAGTCTAGAAGTCAATTTTAAAAATCTTTAACCACAAAATGCTGAAATTAAGATACAGGATGGCCCATTGTACAACATCGAGATGTACAAGACACTATGTTGAATATGAACTTTACAACCTGGGGGGTGGGGGAGTGAGGAAGTAGGGAGGAAAGAGATGGTGGGGGAAAAACAAAGGAGGGGGTAACAATGCTTGATAGGAAATGGACTCGTTACCTTGCTCATGTAACTGTAACCCCTCTGTACAGTATCTTTTTTTTTTTTTTGAGTTCTGTAGTGGGGCCTGAACTCTGGGCCTGGGCGCTGTCCCTCAGCTCTTCAGCTCAAGGCTAGCACTCTACCACTTGAGCCACAGTGCCACTTCCGGCTTT